CCCCCCCCCCCGAACTCCCGACCCCCCCCCCCGTCTCTTGACTGCCCCCTCCAAAACCTCCCTGCCCCTTCTCCGACCCCCTGGCCCCCTTGTTGTTGGCCTTTCTTCGCCTAATGTCTCGGTTAACCCTGCTCAGGAACTGCCTGAGCCGCTGGGCAGCAGTGGGGGAGGAGCTCCAGACTGCCGGAGCCGATCTGCGATGCAGGGAGGGAGTGATCTCTGCTGCAGGGGGAGGAGGAGGATGTGCTCTCTCTGGCTGAGTGTCGGAGCCCCACGTAAGTGACACCGGCCGGCCGGCAGCACTGTTAGCCGCACATGCTCTGCATTGGGGGGGGGGGGGGGAGAGGGAAGTCCGGACATTTACAAAGTCCCCCCCGGATGCTATTTTTAGCTTAAAAAGCCGGACATGTCCGGGGGAATCCGGACGAATGGTAACCCTATGTTAGGCCTTCAGTGGGCCAGTTGCAGCTCAGAGGATTCTTCCTGAGACAGGTCTCTCAAACTGTTTTTGTACCAACTACATTTATCCACATCACATCTGGGAGAAGGAGAAAGGGAAAAAATATAATTTGGATTTTCACACCATCCTCCCACCCCAGTGATGTAGATAAAGAAGAAATGGATTTGTTGCCACAAGCTCTAAACGCTGGCAGTTAGAACATGTTTTGCATATTTATTCCTCCTCAGTGGCATCTACAGCAAATGAGTGCAATTTACAACACCAAAGCATAATTTATCAGGACATAACTATATTTTAAAAGCTTTGTTACTTACCAAATGGTACAAAATCTTGAACTTCTATTGTAAAAATATTGCTGCCTGCTAGGGAAACACGGTCAGTCCACAGCTTCTGTGAAGCTTTCACAGCAGAAGCATCACAATCAGGTTCTGGATCTGGGCTCTCATTCTATACCCAGATAGAAGGTTATAAAATAAAGATTTAATCCGATATTGAAAAATCTTTTTAACACATTTCAAGCAAGCTAAATTCTACTTGCTTACCATAAGAACTTTAATCAGGTTCTTTTCTATTCGAGACTTCTGGTCCTCTTTTAAAGTGGATGCTAATGAACAGAATTAAGGAAAGCAAACTACAAAACCAGGAGAATCCCAATCTTTCATCAGTATTAAAAGAAAGTTAGTCCCTGAACTAAGACACCTAAAGCATTAATCTTCAGAAACCTACCACTTTCATGCAACACTTTCCAGGAGAACTTTGGTATTTCCAAATACAAATTCCATTACTTAATATTTTCTATCCATTTTAAGTCTTTCCTCCTATTCTCACCTCAGCCAATAGGAAAACACTCAATTGTGGCAAAATAAACGTCTGTTTCCAAACTCTGGCTATGTGAAGTATTTTATAGCTTACAAGAAGGAAAAATTCCAAAGAGAATAACGCAATATTCTATGAAGGGAGCAATTTCCTCTCCAAGCATTGCCAATGGTCTCATGTAGTTTCTGCTTATAAGTACAAGCAGAATGGTTTGGAGTAGTGGAAGCAACAGATTCTGATAAGACTGAAAATGGAAGCTGAGAAGAGATATAAAACAAATGTATTGACAGCAGAAGGACATTGTCCCTTGAAGTAGAGGAAAAGATAGGGTACAGTTAATGAGATCAAGTTAATATGAATCCAAGAGACTAAAACTACACAACAGAGTTTGGATTATTCCAGTGTAGCCACCATGCAGTAGTTGGCTAGGAGTTAAAAAGTGACATTTATATATTTTGTTATCGATACTCTTTATTTAAATATTAAAGCTCTCACTTACCCCTCCTGGAGGAGGTTGTGCTGTCTTGTTTTTGTGCAAAATGAGCCAGGTAAGTAGTCTTAGCTAGGCTATCACAAAGGGAATAAGTCTCTCTCTATGGTTATGTTTTACTAAGTTTTTCAACTGGTTAACATCTTTCTGATATTGTATTCTATACACTATTCTAGTTATGCAGTTTTTGGCCTCATTTTAATAATGTTATATGCATTACATCTTCTCTAACCCCAATTCACTCTTAAAACTTTACAGCGCGCTCCAGTTCACTCCTAAACTTTACAGTGCATTAAACTGAAGAGCAAGATGTACAAGTTCTATGTTAGAAATAAGGAATCAAATTCAGCTCTGGCATAAGATGGTTCAACTCCAAAGTCGATGGAATTGCACCCCTTACACTGGCATGCATTTGATCTAATGTAAGGTATGTGATTGGCACAATGATTTGTGACAAGGTTGAAGACTCAAATACTATAATAACTAGCAGGCATGAGATACATTTCTTTAAAGGATACCTCTACCCAACAGCTCTAGAGAGTAAGTAATGTAATCTTTTAAGTGTGCCATGAGGTAAGAACATTTGAGAGCTGTGGTCAATATGGAAGTAAGGAGAGTCCACCATCCTTCACTACGGTATTCACACATGACATAATCTAACAGCCTGGAAGAGGAAAAAAGTGGGACAAATGTATAATTAAGTAAAGTTATGGCTTATGTACTTGATATCCTCTTATATTGTCAACAATACTGAAGCCAATTCAAACCCACCTTTCCCTCCCCCCGAAAAGCTTAATCAATTACAGATTTACCAATAGAGACTCAAAGCTTTTTTCCCCCCCCTTAATTTTATTTATAGCTGATCAAGAACCTTCTGTAAAATAGATGCATCATCTCAATTGGACAGTGAGCACCATTTTAAAAAAAGGATGTTTATTTCACTGTATTTACCTTTGTATAGACACAAAATGGTAAATGTTATGTTAAATGTAATACCTGCAGGTAGTATTGTTTTGGTTTTTTAAATGGCACTTACTGCACAAACTTAAACCAATAGAGAAATATGTACGTGTCTTGCTAGAATGAAGCAAACACTTCGAACAAGAGATTTTCCAATCTCAGTTATCAGGAAGGAAACCAACCAACCAACAGTAAAAGTTCTCAAATTGCTTCCCTTAACATTAAGTACAGAATTAAAAACAGCAGCTGGAAAGAAATTAATTGTACCAGTAGAACTTGTAAAAAAACTTTCTTGTGTAGACAAGGCCTTCCAGAAAATTGTTTCCAGCTAAGCAGCAACAGCAAAGATAGAACAAACTCACTCCCACCAGACCCACACACTCTTGGAAGATCACATTCTGTTGTATTGATAACTTTAACTGAGAGTATTAAAATGCTTAACATTAAGTAGCACAGGCATTAACCCCTCCCACTTAGAAACAAAATTAAGAAGCTGAATGCACAACACTGATTTCATGCAAGATTAAAGTTAAATTTATGACTTTAGCACACCCAGAACTCCTAAACTTCCAACAGCTTTAGTGTTTCCTGGATTTTAAATTGTTACCTGTGTAACCTTAAACTTTGCATTAACAGGTTTTATTTTTAATAAATAAAAAACAGCATTTTTTACCTTTTAATATTAAATAGTAGGTCTGTCAATTAATCGCAGTTAACTCACACGATTAACTCAAAAAAATTAATCACGAATTAATCGCACTGTTAAACAATATTATACCAACTGAAATTTATTAAATATTTTTGGATGTTTTTCTACATTTTCAAATATATTGATTTCTATTACAACACAGAATACAAAGTGTACAGTACTCACTTTATATTATTTTTATTACAAATATTTGCACTGTAAAAATAATAAAAGAAACAGTATTTTTCAATTCACCTCATACAAGTACTGTAGTGTAATCTTTTATCGTGAAAGTATAACTTACAAATGTAGATTTTTTTTGTTACATAACTGCACTCAAAAACAAAACAATGTAAAACTTCAGAGCCTACTTCTTGTTCAGCCAATCGCCAAGAAAAACAAGTTTGTTTACATTTACATGAGATCATGCTGCCCGTTTATTACACCTCTACCCTGATATAACGCTGTTCTCGGGAGCCAAAAAATCTTACCGCGTTATAGCTGAAACTGCGTTATATCGAACTTGCTTTGATCTGCCAGACTGTGCAGTCCCGCCCCCCCGGAGCGCTGTTTTACCGCGTTATATCTGAATTCATGTTATATCGGGGTAGAGGTGTATTTACAATGTCACCAGGAAGTGAGAACAGGCATTTGCATGGCACTTTTGCAGCCGGCATTGCAAGGTATTTACATGCCAGATGTGATAAACATTCGTATGCTCCTTCATGCTTCCGCCACCATTCCAGAGTACATGCTTCCATGCTGATGACGCTCGTTTAAAAAAAAAAAAAAAAAGTCTTAAAAGAGCAACACTCAGATGCTGAAACTACAGAACCTGAACCACCAAAAAAGAAAATCAACCTTCTGCTGGTGGGATTTGACTCAGATGATGAAAATGAACATGCATCTGTCTGCTCTGCTTTGGATCGTTATCAAGCAGAACCCGCCATCAGCATGGATGCATGTCCTCTGGAATGGTGGTTGAAGCATGAGGGTACATACGAATCTTTAGCGCATACGGCACTTAAACATCAGTGCCATGCGAACGCCTGTTTTCACTTTCAGGTGACATTGTAAAGAAAAAGCAGGCAGCATTATCTCCTGCGAATTGTAACCAAACTTGTTTGTCTAAGCAATTGGCTGAAGTAGGAGTGAGTGGACTTGTAGGCTCTAAAGTTTTACATTTTATTTTTGAACACAGTTAATTTTTTGTACATAGTTCTACATTTGTAAGTTGATAAAGAGACTGCACTACAATACTTGTATTAGGTGAACTGAAGGATACTATTTCTTTTGGTTTTTACAGTGCAAATATTTGTAATCAAAAATAAATATAAAGTGAGCACTGTACACTTTTTATTCTGTGTTGCGATTGAAATCAATATATTTGAAAATGTAGAAAACATCCAAAAATATTTAAATAAATGGTATTCTATTATTGTTTAAATAGCGCAATTAATTGTGATTAATTTTTTAATCGCTTGACAGCCCTTTTAAATAGATATAACTACTGTCCCTAATTATTTAAGTAAGTATAGACAAAACATTCTGAAATTTTCTTTTAAGCTTTAGATTTAATTTTTTTTTCTTATGTCTTGAATGCTAAAGAATCTGAGAGGAGTATGAGTAATTAAATTCTCTTTGCAACTATCACACAGCATATTCCAAATTTTAGGCTGCTCTTATTTGTCCCACTGGGTAATCTTTTATTTGTGGACCATTGGCTGAGAATTACTCTCTTTTTCAGGGGTAACTTCTGAAGTGGACCATACAATGGGTCAGTAAGCGGGAATTAGCAATCTCAAATTCACTCCCAGAACTCCATGGGCATCACATCAAGGTAACCGAAGTCTCTTAAATGAATTTCCAACACCAGCTCACAATTGATAAGGTCTATGTTCCAGATGAGAAAAATAATGCACTAAGGAATCATTCATAAATAATACTTACTTCAGAGCTTTGGTGTAATCTTTAGCATAATAATATTCTTCACCCATCTGAACCACTGAAAAGAACAAAGTCATATGTCTACAATGCAATACTTAAAATATTGTTGCAAAGATTTTCAAAGATTTGTTCGGTAATTGATACTTACTTAAGTGACTCTTCATCCTTGGACATTTGTATTTCTTGAACTGTGCTACAGCATTACTCAGCAAAGTGATTATTAGCTCCTAACAGACAAATTAGCAGTAGTGATATGGCAATATTTATACTTCAAAAAAGTGTTAGAAAAATATAGAAATTACTTCTAAGATAAACTTACAGAGTGAGGAACATTTTTCTCTTTTAGTTGCAGGGCTAGAATTCCCACCTTCTCTTTTTCTGGATCAGAAAGATCAAAGCCTGCAAATGATAATGAAAAGTCCATTAAATTGGAATTTTGTCCAGTCCCAAAAGGAATTACTGTTTTTTCATAATAACAACAAGATAAGTGTACGTAGAGAGAGTTCTAACTCAGGCATATTTAGATTCTTCACATTGCCATCTCTTAGGAGAAAGAATGTTTATGTTTGGAGAACTCTGCTATATTCTCTGTTCTATAAAGATAATTTTGGAACAAACATTCTTTCTAACCAGCACATTACTATTAATTTAAAAGTGAACTTAGATGTTTTAAAAACTGACTTTTCAAAGATGCCCAGATCACTGGATAGAATATAATATATTTGTAAAATTTTAGTAGAAGACAAACTATTTGCTGGCTTCTAAGTAATGACTTCACAGTTGTGTTTTTCTACCAATAGTTGACAACATCAACACTTAAAGCAATGTAAGGAATGCTGCACCCTGTTTATTTTATGCATTTATGAGGCTGTCAACTGTTGCAGGAAGACAGAACCCTGAATGCACATCTTAGTAGGAAACAAAAAGTTTTATTCACTTTTAAACTCCACTGATATTTATAATTTTGGTTCAAGACTCAATGTTTTAAATCACACAGTTAACCAACCAATTATATTCTCAAAATGGTATCACTGTATTATGACTGGTAACACCAGAAGGAGACTGTTTTAAGGACATCAAAAGTTGCTATGCCTAAAGGTGTATCCAGGTGATCAATGAGAGAAAAATGTTGAATTCGACAGTGTGAGCATTTCAAAGTCAAAGTGCATAAACTCAATGTTCCACTGATGGTGAAAATATAATATATAGCCTTCCCAACTTTACAGCTAGTGATTCAGCTTTTCCCTTTAAATCTATTTTGATACCTGAAAAGGTGTTGCTGGAAGTGGCAGTTTTTGTCTGCCACAGTGAGGTGCTATTTACAATGGGATGAGTTTGCAGGCCTGATTCTCGTTAACATTAAGGCCTCCTTATGACACTCTGGCCACTCTGTCTTTCTTGTGTGTGTGTCTCTCTCTACCCCCCGTTTTTGGTTCTTACTTTCTTGTCTAACTTCTTATTGATTCTTACTTTTAGTCCAAGAGAATTTCTGGGGATATTATGGGGACTTCACTCTCTCATGTCTAGATAGGCCCATTATACTTGCCACAGTTTTAGAAAAGACATTAACAACAAAACAAAAAACATCAACATATGCATAACCACAACCAGCAGAATAAAATGATCTGTAGAACTATCATTATTTTGTGTACCACTTATTTTGTATTACACCAGTAACTAGTTTAAACACCTCTCTAGTTAGGTACAAGATATATTCATCTACATAGAAGGAGAAAACTTACAGAAATAAGATTCTAGATGTACACCTTCCTGAATTACACTTGAGATTTACACTGCCAAGTAAATGGACAAATTAAGGACTTAGTCCTGTAATTGGTTCTGCAAGGCAGACCACTGCACCTATTCAGTCTCACTGAAGTCAGTTGGCTGTAAACAGGTGCAGGGAATCTGCCAATCCAGAGCTAATTACAGGATCAGGATCTCAATCCCTTTGTCTGACCTCTGTAGGAATTAAAAACAGAAAAATTATTTACTTAGTATTCCCTGACGCCATGATCTCTGTCCATAAAAGTCAAGCACTCCAGTTTGAGTTTCCAGTGGATCCGGATTGGGATAGCTGACAGAAGACTGTAAATTCAGCAAATATAGCCTTTAAAAAGGGTTCATATTTCAAACATATGAAAGATAACAGTGTTGAAGTAAATAAGCAAAAACATACACATTTAAAGAGCAAAAAGAGGAATATCAGTTCTTAATGTATTTAACTTTTTCAACCATTTGTGTAAATTACTACTTACTAGGAAACCAGATAAGCAATTGAAAAGTGTAATACTGGCATATACAATTGAAATGGTCATAGAGGAGTTTTTAAAGTAAGGGGTAGGGGAAAGCTGACAGGTATGGAGTAGCACATAGTTTGAATAGAGACATCCCTTGGGGAGGATTTATTAAAGGGGTTTCTCTATATCCTAGCAAACAGAAGATGATAGAAGTTGATAAAGTACAGGTAGAAACTAAAGAGAAACAGTCAAATGAAAAAGGTTTCAGAGTGGTAGCCGTGTTAGTCTGAAGCAGCAAAAACAACG